TCAAAAACTATTGGTGGATTTGCAGGCATGTAGTTTAAATCACAAGTTGAAGCGTTAACAAATATTATTTTTCCATCAGAAGATACACCATATCCTGTAATAAAAAGTACAAATACTATAAATATCACATGTAAAACCACCAACCGGGAAAAATATTGTGTTTGTACCTTCATGAATGTGACCAAATACATGATATTTTGGTTTAACTCTTTTTTGGATTGTTGTGAGAAGTTCTACACATCCTGCACGGACTCCTGAACAACACAAATCACCAAAACCAATAGGTGGGGTGTGTGTTATTAATATATCTATATTTTCTGGAATCAAATTCCACTTCTTCAAACATTCCTTGCCTCTTGGCAGATTGAATGCCCATTTGCAAAATTCAGGTTGCCTAAAACAAAGGGTAATGTGAGCTATTTATTTGGTGTAATGTTAATTTTATCTATTTGGTTATTAAGTTTATTACCATGGGCTTCCATATATTTTCAATCCACATACTTCTATTAATTTGTCTTCTAAGTATATACAATTTGATAAATGCTGTTTTATATTTTCTGTAGTTATTGCACTTGATATTTCATCTTTTGACATTCCAAGTGTAGGTATTTCATCTAAGATACTTGTGCCTGTGTGTTGACAACGTTCTGATACATTTTGTAAAGGATGCGTGAAATTTGAGTCAAAACTCAATTCGTGGTTGCCTGCTATCACTATTTTGTGCTTATGCGGTAATTCACCTAAGATTGAAAAATATATATAAAATCAAAATTGGCAGAGGTCTAAAATCTATTATTTTATATCTAACCTATCCAATTATTAAATTCTATCACTTCTTCAAGTTTTCCACATCTAGTAAAGTCTCCGGCATGAATAAATATATCGCCCGGGGGTACGTCAAATTTTATATAAGGCGTCAAAGAGTGCGTGTCACTCATACAAACAACTCTCACTTTATTTGGGGCCACTTCTGTTTTTGGGGGTTTCACTGCGATTTTTATTACTCTTTGAGTCTTTGATATCTCTTTCCATGCTTCTGTCGGTTTTTGAGATAAATGGTGAACTTCTACAGTGGCCATTGTCAATAAATATTTTATAATAAACGATAAATAATAAAAAATATGTTATTTATAAATCTTAATTAGCACCTTTGATTTTGACAGTTCTTTAGGTTTTGGGGTTAAAAAATCAATGAAATGTCAAATTCTTTTCGTGTTTTTAGGTTGTCATTTTGCAAGAACAAAGAGAACAAAACAATAGAGAAGTTCACTTTTTTATCTTGGATAACTTATCAATTTTATATTTAAAAAAGTCACTTAACAAGCTTATTTAATAAATGATAATTATTTATACATAAATATAACAAAAAAGTTATAATTTTATATGTGTAGTGTTTTCTTCAATCACAATTTGAAAATACTCTAAAAAGGAATAACAACAGATATATTTTTTAACGAAAAAAGAACATGCCGTCAAGGTAAGGTAAGTCAATTTAGGTTTCGTACGTCATTAACTTTTCGAAGAAAAATTTTGTTTCTATAGAAAGGGAGTACAATAGATATATATTTTTTTACAAAAAAGAACATGCAGCTAGTTAAGGAAAAGGGCAAGTATATTTAGGTTTTGTACGTCGTTAGCTTTCTGAAGAATTTAGTTTTTGATAGAAAATAAGATTAGATTTTATATCTTTTTTATCCACATTTAGGTCATTTAGGTCTGCATTTGACAAACAAATTTCAAAAAGTATAAGGTCTATGATGTTATCACATTAGTTGTGTTTTGTTAATGCTTTTTTTTTGTAAAATACTTAAAAACAAAGCTTATAAAAAGCTTATATTCGGCCGAATACCAAATAGTTAAAATCAAAGGTGCAAAATAAAGAGCTTGCGATGAATCTGTTTTGGTTTACATAATGTGATATGAAGAAATAATTTCGTTAAAATATACAATATATAATAATTTAAACTTTATCGACTTTTGGCATTATCAATAAACACGCGAAGAAATGTTTTTCCGAATATTCACAAGATACTTTATTGTTATGAATATTTAACATGAATCAGCAATAAAATCATTCATTATATTCAATATAAGCATTTTCAAATAGAGAATTATTATTGGTTTTTTATCGCAGAATATACGAACTTGATCAATTTTTATTTATTTTGTTATAATTAGCATTTCTAATATATAAGAAATAATATTGAATTTATGAAAAAAAAATTAAATATTTGTTAAAGAAATAATTGGAAATACATTTGCATACATGTAAAGAATCGCTATTTTCATGATTTTATCATTTACTTCCCTATCACATGTAGTATTCAAGTAATTGGTATTTGGCCGAATAGTATAAATGGTGCCAAATATTCCAAATAACAAAGAGCAGCCGAATAGTGGTTGCAAATCTAGGTAAAACTTGAATAAACATGTGGAGCGTAAGTAATATAACAATTACTGATAGTAATTACATTAATACAGGCGAGCTTAGATGACAAAAACCTGCCGAATAGTTGCCGAATATTCGGTATTCGGTCTTTGGAACATGGCGAATATTCGATATTCGGCATTTTGCCAAATATACTATTCGTTGCAAGTTTACTTTAGACACATCGACACATATAAAGAGTTGATAAATCTAGAAGAAAATATGCAATAAAAGCGTATTTGTAATATAAAAATAAATGCAAAAATTTAGAAAAAACCGAAATGTAATTTTAAGTCGTGTTACGTTATTAATTTATATTGATAAATGATATTGATCAATATATATAGATAACATTGATCTGATTGTTGATAAAAAGAAATGATTTTGTGTCATTAGTGAAATAAAATTTAGAAACAACGAGGCAGATAATTGGTACTTTAGAAAATAATAATTAAATACTAATATACAAAGTAATATGTCATTGACAACAGTGTATAAAATTATTGCAGAGTACAATTAACATTTTTATTTATATCTTAATAATAATAATAAAAAAATAATAAACAATTATTTATAATATAATAATAAATATCAATAATAAATAAATATAATAATAATAATATAATATCCACTCTTATAATAAATATAGAATATAAAAATATAAAATATAAAAAAAAAATAAATGTAATAATAATAATATAATATCCTACTCTTCTTTTATCTATTATAATATCAATTAATTTTTAATTTATCGCTAACTTCATTTCTCAACTGCAACAATGTCTGCCATATCATATCTCTGTTATATCTTTTTGTTATCTTTGGTAAAAGAACGAGCGACGTCCTAGAGTTGTCAACTCGTTAAACATCATTCGCTTTCGTTCAAAGTTCGTGTTTGTCTATTTTTCAATATGGTGGGTAAATGTCCATGTCTGTATATCAAGTGCAATTGACTCAACAAAAGTGATAAAAATTTAATAATTTTACCCTGTGCACCTTTGTTGTATTTGAGTTGACGTTCATTAAAGTATTTATAAGAATTGTATATAGTGTTTTAATAAACGATTGTGAGAATAAAAGTTTGATAATGATCATAAATGATCCAGATGCTTTCAAAACTTGGCTCACTGCCATTCTAGAACCTCTGTAAGTAGGCCATTTTTTCTATAATCCGTCACGTGTGGTACAATTATATTATTTTCTCCATTTGGTACGAAAAATTGATAATGTAAATTTGAATTTGTTATCTATACTTTTCTACGCTGCATATGATACGCCGTAATGTTACACCATATTGTTTATATTTTTGTTATGCAATAAATAGCCTTATAGTCTTTTTGACGTTCTTATAGAAATCTCTTGAAAATCCAAATAAAAGCCTCCGAAGCTTGTTTAAATTATAAAAATGTATCTTAGTTTGTATGAAGAGTTTTCTAGAATATCTTCTATAAATATTTTTACCGCCTACGCGGAGTGTTTTGATATCTGGGAGATCCTTGAAAATTTAATTAACTAATATGCTAAAGTACTTCGTAATCGTTCAATAATATAAATTTTATAATATATATTTCAAGATTAAAATAAAGTCTGCAAGTAGAAAATAACCAATTGAAAAAATCATTGTTGCAAATGAAAATTATAGATAACATTTTTATAAAGTTGAAAATTGTAATACTAGTAATAATGTGTTTGACACGAAGTTGAACTACAATTTTCTATAAATAATATTTTCTTATTTTAATAGGCTAATTCCAATTTTTTTCTCTTTAAACTGCTTTATTCTAAAAATTTTTAGGTCAAAGTCCTTTATTCCAATAACTATTTTTTCTTAAATAGCTGTATTTCAAATTTTTTTTCCTCTCTTAAATAGCTTTGTATTCATATTTTTCCTTCAAATATATAATTATAATAATTCCTCTTATAATTATAATTATTTTCTCTTAAATAGCTTTAGTCCAACCAATTTTTCCCCTTACATAGTTTTATTTCAACATTTTTTTCCCTCTCCCCTCTGAATACCTTTATACCAATTTTTTTTTTCAAATAGCCCTATTTTTATAATTTTTCCTCTTAAATAGCTCTATATCAATATTACTTACCTTTGAATAGCTTCATTCCAATATTTTTTTCTCTTTAAGTAGCTTTATTCTAACAAATTTTTCCTCATAAACAGCGTTATTTCAACAATTTCCCGCCTGAAAAAGCTTTATACTAATATCCCCTCTTTAAATAGTTTTATACTATTTTTTTTTTCAAACCTTTCTTTAAATAGCTTCTTATCAATATTTTTTTCCTCTGAATAGCTTTATTCCAATAATTTTATCTCTTTAAATAGTCTTTTTTTAGTCTAACAAACTTTCCCTCATAAACAGCTTTATTTCAACATTTTGAAGTAGCTTTATACTAATACCCCTCTTTAAATAGCTTTATACCAATTTTTTTTCAAACAGCCATTTTTTTATTAAATAGCTTCATATCAATATTTCTTCCCTCTGAATAGCTTCATTTCAATGATTTTACCTCTTTAAATAGCTTTAGTCCAACAATTTTTTCCCTTTATATAGCTTTATTTCAACAATTTTTTCCCTCAAATATTTTTTTCCTAATATTCCTTCTTTTAAATAGATTTATACCAATATTTTTTTTTCAAATAACCCTATTCTTTAGTCTTTAGCTTTAGTCCAACAAATTTTGTCCCATAAACAGCTTTATTTCAACAATAACTTTATACCAATTTTCTTCTCTCTTCAAACACCCATTTTTAATATTTCTTTCTACTGAATAGCTTCATTACAATCATTTTATCTCCTTAAATAGCTTTAGTTCAACAATTTTTCTCCTCAAATGTTTTATCTTAATATTTTTCTCTTTAAAGTTTTATACCAATATTTTTTCCTTCAAATAGCTCTATTCTTATCATTTTTTTTGTCAAATAGCTTCATATCAATATTTCTTCCCTCTGAATAGCTTCATTGCAATAATTTCATCACCTTAAATAGCTTTAGTCCAATAACTTTTTATTCTAAACAGTTTTATTTCATTAGTTTTATGTCTTCCATATATGTATAGCTTTATACTAAAGTCCCTTTTTTAAATAGAGTTATACCTATATATTTTTTCCAGGTAGCCTTATTCTTATTTTTTTTTTGCTTAAATAGCTTCCTATGAACATTTCTTCCTTCTGAATAGCTTCATTCCAATAATTATATCTCCTTAAATAGCCTTAGTCCAACAAATTTTTCCCCTTACATAGTTTTATTTCAACATTTTTTTCCCTCAAATACCTTTATACTAATGTTTTCCCTCTGAATACCTTTATACCAATATTTTTTTCTTCAAATGACCCTATTCTTATAATTTTTCCTCTTAAATAGCTCTATATCAATATTTCTTACCTTTGAATAGCTTTATTCCAATTTTTTTTTTCTTTTTTCCATTAAATAGCTTCATATCAATATTTCTTTCCTCTGAATAGCTTCATTCCAATAATGTTATCTCCTTAAATAGCTTTAGTCCAATATCTTTTTGTCCTAAACTCCTCCTTAAATAGCTTTATACTAATGTTCCTCCCTTTAAATAGCTTTATACCAATATTTTTTTTTTCAAATAGCCCTATTCTTATCATTTTTTCTCCTTAAATAGCTTCATATCAATATTTCTTTGCTTTGAATTGCTTCATTTTAATAATTTTATTAATTGATTGTTTTATTTTCATAGTTTTATCTCTTTAAATAGCTTTAGTTCAATCATTTTTTTTCCTTACATAGTTTTATTTCAATAATTTCTTCCCTCAAATAGCTTTATCCTAATATTCCTCTCTTTAAATAGCTTTATACCAAATTTTTTTTGTTCAAATAGCTCTATTCTTATCATTTTTTTTTCCTTAAATATCTTTATATTAATATTTCTTCGCTTTGATTTGTTTCATCTCAATAATTTTATCTCCTTAAATAGGTTTAGTCCAATAGCTATTTTATCCTAAATAGCTTTATTTCAGCAATATTTCCTTCTAAAATAGCTTTATACTAATGTCTTTTCCTTTAACTAGCACTATACTAATATTTGTTTCAAATAGACCTATTCATATAATTATTTTCTCTATATATTTTGGTATCAATATTTCTTCCTTTTTTTCATTTCATTTATTTCAATAATTTTTTCTTCTTTAGTTTTATAATAGTTTTATTTCAACATTTTTTTCTTAAATAGCTTTATAATGTTTTCTTTTTTAAATAGCTCTATACCAATATTTTTTCCTCGAATACTCAAAATATATACCTATAATTATGTCTCTTAAATAGCTTTATATCACTATTTCTTTTTTTTAAATATCTTCATTCCTATATTTTTTTCTTCTTAAATAGCTTTGGTCTAATAATTTTCCCGCCTTAAACATCTTTATTTCAACGTTTTTTTTTCTCTTAAATAACTTTATACTAATGTCTCATTTTTTTAAATAGCTATATACAGATTTTTGTTTCTTCAAATAGTCATGTACCTGTAATTTTTTCCCTTATTAAGCTTTATATCACTATTTCCTCCTTTTGAAAAGCTTTATTCTAACAATTTGTTTTTCTTAAATAGCTTTAGTTCATTTTTTCCCTTTAAATAGTTGTATTTCAACAATATTTTTGAACTTAGATAGATTTATACTAATATTACCTCTTTGAATAGCTTTATACCGCCATTTCCTACCTTTAAATAGCTTCATTCCATTTTTTATCCTTAAAAAGCTTGTCATAATGTGTCTTTTTTTAAATAGTAAACTGATTTTTTTTTCAAATAGACATATACTTATAATTATTTCCCCGAAAGGGTTTTATATCATTATTTCTTCTCTTAGAAAAGCTTCATTCCAATATTTCTTCCTTCTTAAATAGCTTTAGTTTAATAATTTGTTTCTCTTAAATAGCTTTATTTCACCAATTTTCTCCCCCTTCAATGGCCTAATACTCTAATATTGCTTATTTGAATAGCTTTATACCGATATTCCTTCTCTTTGAATAGCCCCATTCCAATGTAAAGTTTAATATATTTTAGCCCTTAAATAGTTTATTTTATCAATTTTTTTCTTTAACAGTTTTATACTAAATCTTTCCCTTTAAATAGCTTTATACCAGCGGTCGGGAACATTTTTAATTATTACTACAAAATATTTTTGTTTGAGTTGATATTACCCCAATGGCAAAGAGAGATTACCTTTCTACGGTCTACTACGTAGCAAATATAGTAAATATCAATTAAAAATACATACTTTTTATCACTGCTTTAAACAAACTTTCTTCCTTCAAATGACATTATTTATACAAAAATGACTTCCCTTTAAATAGCTTCATTCCATTTGTTCTTAAATAGCTAAGGTCCAATACATTTTCCCTTTAAAGTGCTTTATTTCAACAATTTTACCTACTTAAATAGCTTTATACTAAAATTCTTCCCTTTAAATAACTTTATACTAACCTTTTTTTTTCAAACCGCCATATTCCTATAATTTCAACTTTTCAATAGCTTTATACTAATATTTCTTCAATTTAAATTGTTTCATTCCAATTTTTTTTACTTAAATAGCTAGTACGTGTATATAATAGTGTAATATATTTTCCCTTAAATAGCTTTATTTCAACCATTGTTTTCCCCTTAAATAACTCATACTAAAATCCTCTCCTTTGAAATAGCTTTATACCAATCTTCTTCTACAACAGCCATATTCCTATAATTTCACCTCTTTAATATTTTTATACCAATATGTCTTCAAATTAAATTGTTTTATTCCAATTTTTTCTACCTAAATAGCTATAGTCTAATACATTTTCCTTTTAAATAACTTTATTGCAACCATTGTTTTCCCCTTAAATAACTCATACTAAAATCCTCTCCTTTAAAATAGCTTTATACCAATATTTTTTTCTTCAACAGCAATATTCCTATAATTTCACCTTTTCAATAGCTTTATGCCAATATTTCTTCAATTTAAATTGTTTCATTCTAATTTTTTCTCCTTATAAATAGCTATAGTCCAAATACATTTCCTCTTAAATAGCTTTATTTCAACCATTGTTTTCCTTTAAATAATAGCTTTATACTAAAATCCTCCCTTTTAAATAAATAGCTTTACACTAACTTTTTTTCCTCAAACAGCAATATTACTACAATTTTTCCCCTTACATAGCTTCATACCAATATTTCTTTCTCTTTAAATAGCTTCATTCCAATTATTTTTTCTCTGAAATAGCTTCATTCCAATAATTTTTTTCTCTTAAATAGCTTTATTAAATTTAAATTATTAAATTACAATTATTTTCGACTTTTAAATAGCTTTGTTCCATTTCCTTTCTTTAATAGTAATATTCCAAAATAATTTTCTACTTAAATAATCTCATGTTTTTGCAAGAAACTTTACTTGTCCTATATTCAAATGATAATTTTTTTTGTGAAGTATATCTTTAGATACTAAACTTAACTTAATTGAATGTTTTTTATATTTATTATAAAAATTGATTTTAAATAGAATTTTTATACTAAAATCAAATGAGATAAAAATTATGTTTAATTTTAATATTTTATGTATTTTTTAAATGATTTGCCTTTGCAATGAGATCTCAATTAATAATGTTTAAATAAATTCTATTACAGAATATATTATATTTACTATAGCTCTCATAACATTATAGCAGCGTTTCTCAAACTTACATCTTCCAATGCCCCCTTTGATGATCCAAATTTTTGTACCGCGCCCCCCTACCAAATTTTTTATACTTATATAGACTTTAAAAAGAACCTTTTTTTTAATTATAATAGTGAGCTATATAAGTTGATGTAATCTTGCATGTAAAAAAAAATTAGTCAGGGGCCTCTTATCGCCCCCCTGGAAATTACAATCCCCCACTTTGTGAAAGACTGCATTATAGTATGATACCCTTCGGCAATAAACTCATTATATAAAATGTAATTTAATTACGAATTTTATATATTGAAATATATCTTTGTTGAAATTGAAAAAAAAATCATGACATGATTGTTCCAAATTTTGTTAATTATTGTTAATTTTTTTTCCAGTTGTGATGCTGATCCCAGTGCTCTTGCCAAATATGTATACGCTCTTTGTAAAAAGGATCGTACTGAGAGTGAACTTAGGGAATCAATGCTTGATCAGCTAGATGTATTTTTACAAACAGGTAAAGAAAATAATTTATTGTTCAGTAGAATCCTCTGTAGAACTATTTGTACAGTATAAAATAATGGTCTGTATTTTTACTGTGTAGCAATTTGGAAATGAATGAATAAATATATTGAATGCATGCTCAGTTTTATTTCAATAAGAATAAATTAATAAATAAATTAAAAAAACAGGGGATAGTACTGCCTTAGGGCAGGTCTATATATTGTATTTTTCGAATTTGTTTGCTCCTGCGGGCTCAAATGTTTCCAAATTGTTAAAAAAAATTCTCTGAAAGTTTTACATTAATTTTATTAACAAAGTTTCTTATGGAAATAATATGGGTGAAATTCCATTTGTTCTTTAGAATTTTATAACATTGTATTTTCTTATTTTGATCATAAATAAAAAAATTACAACAAAAACTTCATATAGTAAACAAAGTAAGTATTTACTTAGGAAGAGGAACTACGAAACTTTAGTTGGAGTGAGTACTATCTTAAAGTTAATATTAAGAGCTAAAATTTCAGAGATTTTTTCTTTAACAGTTTTGAAGCATTTGAGGCCCTGGGAGCAAGGAAATTCGAAAATATCCATATTAAGGGCTAACCTAATATGTATGGATAATATATGTTTATAAATACTCATTTGTAAACGTATCTCATTTAGATAAATTATCTGGAGTAAGAGTTCACAGTACATAAATATTTTACAAATTATTCATAATAGTTCATTTTGTGATCTATTTAACAATTAATATATTTATAAACACATCACATGCACATACAGATATGATAATTATACTGATATAAAAAGAATTTTTATTCATAACACGTTCAGTTATCTTTCACTACACCATGTTATTAGTTGAATACTACAATACGTTGAACGTACTTTTATCAACAATAGTAAAATATATAGAAAATATGAATGAATGAAATTATCATAAATGAAGTAGTAATGAAGTAGTAATGAAAATCTTATTCTTTGCTTTAGCTTTTTATGATAGAAGGACATGGTTTAAATTTTATTTTAATGCCGGTAATCCCTGTTTTTGAGATATGTATAATAAAACTCGTGGAGCATGGCATCGTACCTTAAGACAAATTGCTGGAACTTCCTGTACCAAACATTATTTTTTTCAGAAGAGATTAATTTTTTTTTAATTTGAAAAATTAGATTTTTGAGAAATTTCAAATTTTTGAAAAAAAAGTGAAGATTTTTTTTTATTTTGAAGTATCGCACTGCTTTAGCTGCATAGAGAAGCAATATCAAAGCGCGTAAGCGCCGCGTCGCCGTCTAATGGACAAACGATGTTACGGAACTCATAGAAATGTAAACAAAATTGATACACATTATTAAAATCTCAATTTGATGTGCGTATGTCTAATGATCATTTTTGACCGCCAAATTGCATTTTTTTTACTTTCTTTTACTAGATTTGCGAAACCGCTATACCTGCCTTTTAAAAAATTTAATCAGTTCTTCATCTTGTCAATACAAGTAAAATGTTTTTTGAATTATTAAAATCAACGGCTCCGTTCTCTCAAAAACTGAGTTACCGTTTTTGGCACTTTTTGCTCCATATCTTCGGAACGGCTAGACCTGCCTTTGCCAAATACTAATCAGCACGTCTCCTCATCAATACGAATCGAATGTTTTTGAATTATCCAAATCGGTTGATCAGTGTTTCCGAAATCGTCGACGGAAATTTGTATCCACACACACGCACATCAATTTTTTCTAAGGTATGCCAAAATGTTCAGAAACCACTGAAACGTAAAGATATATAAAAAAAATTATTTTCCATTTTCAGCTCATTACTATAACTACCCTATGGAAAGTTGGAAAAAAGACTAAATGATTATAAATATTATTTTTCGTCAAAAGTGTGGCATTTTAAAAATAGTAGAGAACCATTATGTTGTTTAAAATGAAAAATACTCGCCAATTATAGTGTTATTATTTTTTTTGTTCAAACTTTCAATTTTGTTCACATTTTTCAAAATATTTATACCGGTATTTTACCGGTTTTTAAACCGGAAATACCGAAATACCGGTATGGTCATTTTTTATCGGTATTGCATTCCCTAGTTTCTACCATGCTTTGAAAAAACCAAAGTCTAGTAATTTTTGGAAGTTCCAGAAGTTAATTCAATCTATATTCAATGTAGGGTTTTTTTTCTAATTTTTATAAAGTTATGATCATCATTTTGCTATTATCAGGATAAAAATTTAACATAAAAATCTCTTAAGAGTTTAAAAATAGAATTTCCAAATGTTGCAAGAATACCTAGAAATATAAACTAACAATAACATAATTCTTCGCATGATATTAATTGTTATTGTACAGACGCAGATGAATTTTCTATTATTAATTTTATGTTTTTAATTCTGGAATGCAAATATTTTTAGTTCAGACATTCCAGTTATGCCTGATCAAAAACATTAAACTACATTAATCGTAGTATTTATAAATATAGAGTTTATTATTTCAACTGCTTATTGATTTTGTATATAAATTGTTTAGCATTTTATTCCACCAGTGGTGTTGTCGGAAATTATTAAGATTGACATTCCATTTATCGGGATCAAAAATATTAAACATTAATAATTGTAATATTTATAAATATAGAATTCTTTGTACTAATTGCTAATTGAAAAACATTTTATACATTAATTGTTAAGCATTTTATCCCGACAGTGTTGTCGGAAATTGTTTAGACATTCCATTTATGCTTGATCAAAAACATTAAACAGTATTAATCGTAGTATTTATAAATAGTTTATTATTTTAACTACTAATTGAAATGTGTATATTATTTGTTTAGCATTTTATTCCGGCAGTGTTGTTATCGGAAATGTTTAATTTGTGGTTGGCTGTTTTATCAATTTTCGGCAGATTTTTCTTGTTCCTAGCAAGTATGTATTGAACATTTGTATGATGTTATTTTAATTTCTCAGAAAAGTTTGGTTTTTGGCAGATAATCCAATTCCTTAATTTCATGCTTTTGAGTTATTCCTCAAAAAGGAATAGAAATAGGTTTTAAAAATACAAATTCTTCTGACTATTGTCTGTGATTTCGGAATTGAGAGAGATTAATGTATAAAGAACTTTCTTCTAAATCTGGTCCTGGTGATGTTCGGGGTTTTCTGGTTTGAGTGATCTTCGAGGCTGCTTTTGTACTTGACTGAATGAGTTTGTATTTCATGGATTACACTGCTGATGTCGACATTTTTAAGGATAAACCAATTTGGATAATTTTTTGAGGCATTCTTTCTTGTATTAATTTCTTGTATTAATTTATTTGGACACATTTTAATTTCAATGATGTGTATATTTTTTAATTTTTTTTTTGGTATTGTCAATCAAAATATACATTATTTTTTGAAACAAAGTGCTGGTCTTTATGCTTTTAAAGAGTTTATCTCCAATGAGATCTTCTTTTTTTAGCATTTTATTTTTTATCTTACGGCAATTTTTTTAATCTTCGTGAATGAGATATATGTATATGAATGCAAATTTGGATTTTGGATCGTGTTTTTGGAAAACAATTTTTTGGTGGAAATTACTTGTTTTGAGCCTGATAAAATAAGCCTGATTGTTACGAGTACCATTTTTCTAACACACATCCTACTTTTCCAAACTTTTATAACTAAACACTTCCTACAGGTCTATAATCCTGATTTTTCTTATATAATTTTTGGATTCGAAACTACTTTTGGCCACCTTAATATTTTATAAAAAAAAGATCAGTTAAAAATTTAAATTTTAAACTCATTATCTCATAAATGAGAATTCTAATTTTTAACTTCCCGTAGGGTAAGTTATAGTAATCGCAAAAAAATCGAAAATGAAAATTTTTGCATTTCTCGACGTTTCAAAACCTTCTGAACATTTTGGCATACCTTAGAAAAAAATGGATGTATGTGTGTGTGTGTGTGTGTGTGTGTGTGTGTATGTATGTATGTATGTATGTATGTGTGGTATGTATGTGCGGATACAATTTTCGTCGACGATTTCGGGAACACGGATCAACCGATTTGAATAATCAAAAAACATTCGATTCGTATTGATAAGGAGACGTGCTGATTAGTTTTTGTAAAGGCAGGTCTAGCCGTTCCGAAGATACGGGCAAAAAGTGCCAAGAACGGTACCTCCGTTTTCAAGAGAACGGAGCGTCCGATTTGAATAATTCAAAAAACATTTTACTTGTACTGACAAGATGTAGAATTGATCAAATTTTCATGGAGGCAGGTCTAGCGGTTTCGGAGATCTAATGAAAAAAGTAAAAAATAATGCCATTCGGCGGTTAAAAATTATCATTAGACATATGCACATCAAATTATCAGATATTTTATAGAGATTTTAACAATAAGTATATTTTTTTACATTTTTATGGGTTCCGTACCAATGCTTATGCGTTAGACGGCGGCGCGGCACTTGCTAGCTTTAACATTTCGTCTCTATGCAGTTCAAGCAGTGCGATTGCTTTGAAAAAAAGAATTTCCAAAATATGTCAAAATGAAGAAAACATTTTTTTCAAAAAAATTTTTTGTATCCAAAAAAAAATTTTTTTTTCAAAAAAAAATTTTTTTTTGCATATAATTTTTTTTTTCAAAAAAAGTAATTTTTGTCAAATTTGTAGTTCTCAAATCTATTTTTTTAATTAAATTTTTTTCAAAAATGTTAATCGTTTTTAAAAAAATAAATTTTGGTACGGGAAGTTCCAGCAATTTGCCTTAAGGCACGATGCCCTAATTGCCTTAAGACAGAATTCCACTTACAGCTAGTTTATTATAATTTCAAGATCTTTAGAGGTGTAATTTATAACTTCCCGAAGGAGAAGTTCATGTTTTCATAAAAAAAATCCCATGTTATGTTTTCTCGACGTTTCAAGCCATTCTGAATCGACTGAGACTAAATTTGAAAGAAGTATGTGCGTGTGTGGGTGTGTGTGTGTGTATGTGAACAGATTGGGCGGCTTGTTTTTCCGTATAGCAGTGTCACTCTTGCGAAAACACTCGAAAGGGTTAAAACTAGATAGTAATATCTAGTCTACAAAGAACAGCTATTTTATATTACAGATATATGTTAATTATCAAATTGTACTTTTGAAAGGTTGCACGCTAGTAGTAGGCCTTTATCAATTTTTATAAACTAATTTAAGTTACAATAATAAATTCTGAATAATATATGCAAATATAATAAATATCAAATTAAAACAAAAAACAATTGTAATTAAAATATGTAATTGTATGAACATATGTTGTCAATGACTGAATTCATCGAGGGGGTGCTTTATTTTTAGGCTTCGTCGCCTTGTGTCTTTAATAATAAACCTGGTAGACAAAGTCTAAATTTCCAAATATACTCACGTTATAAAATTTCTATGACAAATACAGATGGTT